TCAAAAAGAGGATCTTCAGAAAAAAAGCAATTCGCACTTGTCAATTTTCGAAAATAAAAACGAAATGAAGGCGAAGAAGATGACGCGAAACTTTTAAACAAATTGGCTACGAAGTAGCAAAAAAAGAAGGTGGCACCAGCCGGTTGGGTTGCTACCAGTACTGCGGAATGTGAAGACACTCCAAAGTAGACAATTCGTAAAACGAAGACACGGGAGTAGAAACCTCTCTCCCCCCTCCCGTGATAAACGCAGCCTTGCACTAAGTTCCCAGAAGGGTAAAAAGTCTGCGGTTCTAACCCTAACCTTGACACCAACCGACCCCTTCTTGAAAGTCCGCACAAAGACACTCGTATTACTGGGGGAGAGAGAGCTTCTCTTCCAGTGTCTTGTCAATGTTTAAAAATTCCTTTTGTTGGCAAAGAGAGTTTTCCAACCCCAAAAAATAGACAAGTTCAAGTTAGGCGGATTGAATACTTACTGCAGCCACGCTGGACGCCCTCACGGTGATTGGCTCGCTCTCCGCTGCGGCAGTGCTCCCGCTATTGACGACTGAGAGACTGGATTCGAGGATGCTAAATCCGTTCCGCTCAACCCACTCAACGTCCGCAGTGGAGACACCCTTATGACTCCAGACTTCGGCGCGTAGGAAGTCCTTCAGCTTGCGGAAGGATACACTACAGGCGGTGATGTTCGGGAAGAAAAAGCAAGAAGAAGGAGAAGAAGCGAAAACAGTCATTGCCAAAAAAGATAAACTCAGTGAGTTTATACGCACCAATGTTGTCTGTCCACTGCAAGTCATTACTGACAGTCTTACTTACCAACCGGAGGTGAACGTTCGCCCGGCTGTCTTAAAAATCAGCCCAGATGACATTTAGGACGCGCGTAAGCTCATATTCTCCTCTGTTATGCTTCTTGCAATGATAGAATGCATGTCAGCTATTGATAATATTTTAAGAATATATTACTAAAATAAGCACTCTTAGCAGTGTCATATTACCTCTAGCAGCAGCATCCTAGATCAAACTTAGTAAAATGTGACAACAATTTTGGTGGACAGATGTGAGAGGGCGGAAACCAAGGCATGCCCTGATGTTCTCCGGACGTCAAACATTTATTTACTCGGAATAGCTTAAAACCCAGATTCAGCCTTCTTGTTGAGATCGAAGTGATATGGACCCCAGCATTGACTTTAATTAGCGACACCTCTGATAAATACTCACGTCAGAAATAGTGCCTGCATTACTCATACTCAGCTACACTCCTAGTTTAGCAGTAGTTTTAGTAGTAGTAATAATAATAGAAGTAGTAGTATTAGTAGTAGCAGCAGTAATAGTAGTAGTAGTATTAGTAGCAGTATTAGTAGAAGTAGTAGTATTAGTAGCAGCAGCAGTAGTAGTAATAGTACTACTAGAAGTAGTATTAGTAGTATTAGAAATAGTAGTATTAGAAGTAGCAACAGTAGTAGCAGTAATAGTAGTAGTATTAGTAGTAATAGTAGTAGTATTAGTGGTAGCAGCAGGAGTTGTAGTAATAGTAATAGTAGAAGTAGTAGTAGCATAAGTAGTAGTAGTAGTAGTAGTAGTAGTATTAGTAGTAGTAATAGTAGAAGTAGTAGTATTAGTAGTAGCAGCAGTAGTAGTAATAGTACTAGTAGAGGTAGTAGTAGTAGTATTAGTAGAAGTAGTAGTAATAGTAGTAGTAGTAGTAGTAGTATCAGTATCAGTTTATTGAGGGAAAGATAGGCGAATGCCTTTGAACTCCCTGTGTAGTAGTAGTAGTAGTAGTAGTAGCAGTAGTAGTAGAAATCAGCCTTGGTTTCCTTGAGTCTGTCTAGACACCTGCTGAAAGTGAGGGAACGCAGATAGCACGGTAGTAACAGCGCAAAAGTCTACCGTCACTTAAAACTAAGTTAGGCGGTGTTCTAGCCTGCATTGGAGAAAGTGACCTACGCGCGAACCCGTTCGGTCATCTTGACTTTGTCTTTTCACCGGTTCAAACTGATAAAGGGTTAGAGTGAGGTAGACAGTTAGCGTCTACTTCACTTATATTTCGTCTCTGTCTCCTATCACCATCCTTGCTCTTGGGCATCATCGAAATCGATGGTCGAACTATGATGCACTAGTCCAGGAAACTGAACAGCTCGACAATGAAGTCAACGGCTCAGGGCATTTTCCTCACTAGAAAAGATCGGATGCACTTAAAGCTGCCATCTTGGCTTGGAGGGGTGCCATTTGACGGGATGACTCGGAATTCTTAGTCAGCTCAATGCGTGCTTGTGTAGAGTGGTCGACTGTTACACTGAGAATCAGGCCGCAATGGCTCCTTCTTATTGTGTGGCCTTAATGGCACTCCCACTCAGCTGGGAACCGAACCAAGTGTGACGGTACGCCTAGCAGTGGCTTCGGATGCGTCAGTCACCTGTACCCAATCCCACCTCCACTGAGAGAGAGAGGGAGATCTCTTTCGATCACCTTCATGCAGAGGCTTCTGTCCTGCCGGTCGCCCCTCACAACAAACTCTTAGGCCAGCAGTTCTGGTGGACCTGTTCACAACCTTGCCATCTGAATCACCATCGTTGCCACGCTCCTGAGTGTAGCCGCAACGTTCGACCGTCTATTCGAGCTCTCCACAAGACAGCTGTCGCCTCGTGTCTCTCTCAGATATACG